GTGATATCACGGCGAATGAGAACGACCCAAATTTGAGTTTAGTTATCTCAGAAATAAGAAATAAAGTGCAGGAACTCAGCGATGAGTAAATTTGCCTCATGTTTTCCCAGGTTTTTCCGGGATTTTTCCCGAATTTGAGAAAAGTAAAGATTGGATTCACTCAGTCTATTGGTACTACTCCGAGACTGAATAAAATTTTCGTCAATTTCCTCATTTTCTGGCAGATTTTTTAGGTTTTCCACAGGAAACAAATTTACTCATCGCTGAGTTCCTGCACTTTTGGCGATTAAGAGTGAACTTAACTCAAATTTGGGTCGTTCTCATTCACCACGTACGCAAAAAGAAAAGAGCCAGTGTGGCTACTTGATAGCAAACTACTCATAATGGGAGGAGTCTTTGTAGCTTTTATACCACTTGGTTGCACAGCATTCTGCTTTAACCTGAAAAGATATAAAAGTGCGCTGCTGTATGGCATTAGCTCATTTTCGCTTCGGACGGCGTGGTGAACAGCAGTAGCAGCAGTAGGAAGTTGGTGGCTAGTCCACTCCTTCGCACCTAACAAGCAACAATTGACTGGTCGTGGCAAAGGAGGAAAAGGTCTGGTAAAGGAGGCGCCAAGCGTCATCGCAAAGTTCTTCGAGATAACCGCCATCGGTCGTCTGGCTCGCCATGGTGGTGTCAAACGTATCTTCGGTCTGATCTACGAGGTGTGCTGAAGGTGTTCCTGGAAAATGAGGTCCGTGATGCTACCACCTACACTAAACACGCCAAGCGTAAGTGGCCATGGATGTCCTCTTCAATAAATTGATGACTCTGAAAAGGGCCGTTTTATTTATTTACATCAGTAAAGAGTTGGAATAGAATTTATCTGTGCTTGTTTGTCCATATTCAGAACTACAAGCCCCCAACGATCACACAAAATTTTCTTCAGACTTGTAATCTTGTAACCAAACTTGGAAGCAGGGGTACAAGTCATTATGATTGATTCTCTTAATCAACTTTCTCTTTGAAAAAGATCACTACAAATTTGGTACGCCTACAATTCAAAAACGGAAAGAGTTGAGATAATAGATAATTGATCAATTAAAAGAACTAAATGCTCTTCACATTTATTCCTTCCACTAGCGGTCCTACGTCAAGCTTCCGTTCGTGCCCCTAGGCACAGACCCTTCTACTTTTTTTATTGCAAATCCGTCCTCACCCGTTTTCTCAGAACGGCCGTCCCGGTCGCGTTCTCTCCTGTGGCTTTGCCACGGCGAGGAGACGATTTTTGCAAATCCGTCCTCACTCGCATTCAGAACGGCCGTCCCGGTCGCGTTCAAATTTCCAATATTCCTTGTAAGTAGGTGATTTGCCCTTTATTACCTATCGGGGGTCTCCAAGATTCCAGGTTCGTCTCATGGCAGGATCGCCAGAAATGTGAAAATCTGCCGTTATTAATTATGGGCAAATCTCCCACGACGCAGCTAATAAATATTCAACTTACCCGCGCTATGGCGCTATGAATCCAAAATGACCTTTCACCAACTGTCAGAAAATGTGTATGAAAAGTCCCGACCTACCTAGTTATTATCCATCTCATAGTTTCTTCGGGACCTTCTAGTATTAGGTTACCTCTATTGTGCTACTATTGCTCTGTACTCCTATCACATAAGCTATTGACCAATTCACGGAATAAATTCATGAGAAAATTTGACGTTTGTGCTGTGCCGTGTTTACTAAAAATGAACACATGACGTGATGCTCGCGCAACTTTAGAAAAGAGACTATCAACTTTTTAAAAACAATTTGTTATGCCCTTTTCACGTGAATCGAAGAATGCCCATGCAAACCCAGGGCACTAGCGGGAAGGGGAGAATTTTCCATACTCGATGGTGTTGTTAGTTTGCGTGGGTGTACTTCGGTGCGTGCAAAAAAGACTTAACGAGTTGTTTATAAAAGTTGATAGGCCCTTTTCTAAAGTTACGCGAGCATTACGTCATGTGTTCATTTTTAGTAAACACGGCACCGCTCAAACGTCAATTTTGTTTCGTGAGTTCATTCCGTGCATTGGTCAATAGACTTCTCTGACATTTGTAAAATGCACTCCAACGCGAATTGCGAGCCGTCAAATTGTCAAATCAAGCTGTCAGAGCAGATGAACTATTGTGTTCATATGCAGTGATGCCGAGTTTTCGGAAAGAATTTGAATAGAATATTTTTTTTTCTATCTTTATTAGGGAGATTTTTAGCCCTGGGCTGGTTCGTCTCCGGAATAGAATAATTGCAATAATAGAACATAAAGGTTTTCACCATGATATTCGATGAGTTTTTGCGTAGTTATCTTTGTTAGTTCAGTAAACCACATTCCGGAAAAAATATGATGGATTTTAGTATATTTTTCGACAACAAAAAAACCCATTTTATTAAAATTATTTCAAAATTTCGCCACACTCAGTTCAGTAAATTTGATGTTCTTTCATTATAGCAGATTGAAAGAAAAATTGGATCATGTCTTGGATATTTTTTTTTTCAAAAACTTGAGTTTTTTAGTGGCGCTGGTGGTGTAGTGGTAAGCGTGATTAACTCTCACTCCAGAAGGCCTGGGTTCAATCCCAGTTGGCGCCGCCGGGATGTTCTGAGGCATAACATCTCTCATCACGCCTAAATCACGCCCTGATGCCAGGGAACTAAAGCCGTTGGTCCCCGGTTCATGAGTTGATGGGTCGATAGGTAGGGTCCAGGTGTTGGAACTGCCTCCTTGACGTCGGTAGCATTGGTACTCAGCACGGAAAACAAGATCGACGGAAAACAAATCAAGGAAAAAAAAAGACTTTAGAACAAATGTCTAACAAAATAATTACAAATTTCAGGCAAAAATCTTTGCAGTCCTCAGTCGCAACAATTAATTCCCTTTATATTTATTTAAAGATTTAGTTTTAGTTTTTAAGTATAGACCACCTGTTTAAAACACTGAATTGCCAAGGCAGGAACAATGTAAAATCACTAGTAGTTTTTTTTTCTATGGAAGTGCTGTTTACGTACAATATTGTAAATTTCTATAGAACGGCGGAGATAGAGAATAGGAGTAATTGAGTTGTAACTATAAGTTTGCGTGTGACAGTAAATGATCAACTTCCTTGTTTATGCACAATTTTAGCATATGAATGGTTAGTATTCATACTTATATATTAATTATATGCTAAAAACATCAAATAAATGCAGTAATTAGTCAGTAATCAACAACATTCTACGTGACATAAATGTATGACGCGCACACCACTTGCTTGCTTCTTTGTGCCATAATGTTCAGTCGTTGGCAGCAAAAAGTTCAGAAATGTCACGACATTTTTGCTGCTTGCCAGTTTGTTTCTGTGTGTCTTCACTATGGTCATTGCGAAAAGTATCAAATCTTAATGAAAAAATGGTAAAACAAACCAGTGCTCGTGCCATCACTCGTTGTGTATAATACTCAATATATTAGTTTACTAAAGACTTCTGACAAAATTGACTCGTATGCTCCTATAATGCTCCCGTTGACATTTATCTTAAAATATTATTTTTATTCAATAATAGTTCAATAGGTCGGTTAGTAAAGATTAGTGAAACAAGTTGAATTTATTTATTCCAATTGAAAGCGCTGTATAGAACACATACCTCCAACGTGGCGGAGTTTCTAGTTGCTATTTTAGCTGAATGGAGAAGTATATCAGAAACCTATTAATTCAACATTAGGGTTAAGGTTCAGTCCATAATTCCAACCAAATGCAACTGCTTATGGCTTTTACGCCCGAATTAAGCAGATTTACAGCTTTAAAATACATCGAGATGCCCTCGGAGAAGCCATAAAACTTCATGAATTTCTATTTTGTTATAAAATCAGATTTAGTGAGTATATAATAAAATTAATATGTTGTTTTCTGTTACTCGTCACACAGCACTCATATTTTAAAGCTGAAAAAACCAAAGTTAAAAAACTTGAATAGATAAAAAATCAGATTATTAAACAAATTGTCAAAATGACTTTTGAGCGCTTCTGTAAGTGCAAGATGCAGTGTTACTCTGAAAACAGCCGATTGAGTTTGGTTGAGAATTTGACATAAAATAATATGACTATTCAAAGTCGCACTGGCCTCCACCTAATATGTTCCGGGAGTCTCCGAGAATTTGTCTCAATCTGAATTGGTTGATACATTGGCTATTTAAACAGTATGTTGGTTGCCTCACATCTTAATCTTGAATGCTGTCATCAGAAGCCGATATCAACAGATATTCATAAACGAAATTTTGGATGGGGTGGGTCGGCCACACATTATGAAGGAGCGGAAACAAATTCTGCAAGCATGCACTGCATTGGAACCAAGAGGCAAACCCAAGTGGTTTATATGGCGGTGGAGTCTCAACAAGGAAATCAAGCAAGTCAACAGCAAATTGACTGGGCACAGGTAAAAAAAAAGCATGCAGCCGCCCAGTATAGATGTTTATCACATGGTGATTGAGTGAGGAATCGTCACTCATGCTTTCGATACGACCCCTTTTTCCTACCTGAGATCTGAGAAACATTAGATTGGAACTATATTTTTCTTAAAAACAACAACGGAATATCACCAAAGCTAACCCAAGCACGCCAGTGCAAAGCTGTTTTGTTCATCCAGCAGAATTGCATATCGTGAACTACGATCACCACCAACGGAGCCGGGGTGATGGCACCTTCCAAGTGTAGCGCGAGTGTTTGGTGTTTTGAAACAATCACCCCTCTGCTGATTAAATTGTGGACATCCTGAGAACCCGGCAGCGCGGTGCACTAAATTTGAGTCATCGTGAGAGTAACAATCAGTTATCGTACGTACACACCAATCAAATCACAACAACACAGCGACGATGATGTTTGCGCTGCTGGGGGTGCGATCTACGCGACACTGATTCTGATTGATGATGATGGTGGACTTCAGTTGGTGGTAGAATGTTGTAGATAAGTTTGTAAAGGAAAAAAAAAATCTCACTTCAATCAATTATTTTATTCACTTCGAAACACGGTCAGGCCGTCGAACACAACACAAACCACCATGGTAAATTCTTTTTTCACAATCCACATCTCTTCCGTAAACAACGATCCATGCTGTCATGATGCGTTTCCTCACCTCAGCCACCCAATCACAGTACCACCGGTTGTTGTATAAGCCCAAAGTTCTGAGTCGGGGGAACGCCATCGGGAAATTTTTCACCTCCGTTAGAAAATTATCTTCGATAAACAGTTTCCTCAATGATCCCACCCTTATATTCACTGGAATATCTAGGGTGAAGATGGAATTTTCCGCTAGATCCAATTCGACCAAATTACTCAACCCTCCGAACTGTTTTACGTCAACCATGGTCAGATTGCAACCCCGCAGTGTCAGTTTCTGTAACTCTTTTAAGTATTCGATACTGAAAGGAACAGTTCCCAGGGCTTTTGATCGAATCTCAAGCGATGTCAGTGCTTGGTTCTCCTGTTCGGCAACAAAGAACCGGTGCAGATCGGTGTCCAGAATCGATAGCGAGTGCAACGAGCCCGACAGAAAGTAAACTTCCGAAACGTTCCCAAAGTAAACGGACAGAGTCGTAACACTGGCCGGTATCACTTGGAAGTGATTCGAACCGAACTGTGCGAACGTTGCGTTGACGAGCTCCAGAACCGTGTAGTTCAGCAATGAATCGGAGTCCAGCTCGAGGAAACTGTGCTGATCTGAATTCTCCTGAACGCAACTACCTTCGTGATGCCATTGGACCTTGACGTTGGGCTCTTGGTGACACTGAAATCGCTCTTGATGGCAACATTGGATCCTGATTAGTAGCAGCAGTAGAATCCTTGAGATTGGGATTAACTTTTATTAGGAAGGTCATCATCGATGGAAGTGGAAGAATGTTAGTAACTTACTTCAATACGGGTTCCATTGTTATCAGTTTGTTCAGGACAACGGTTAGACTCGAACTACCAGGGGAGGTAGAACTCTTTCTACTGATAATCGGATTTGTATTCTATTCAGTATCAGCTGTATGTTGATGCAAAACTTTGGTAAAAGGTTATCATCGTTTGTATAATCCTATGATTAAGGTTCAGGAATTTTTACAATCCTTCTATGAATGAAATCGACTAAATCTTGAACAAACGAACATCATATTTGCAGATCATGTTGGGTTAGGTTATGGTTATGTCAACTCGCTCGTTAACCCGATTAACAGTAGTTAGTGATCGCTCAAAACAATAAACAATTTGCTTTCTAGAGCCACCGCTTCCATCACCGCCGGTCGCGTGATTCTTAATTGACTTTTTTGGCGTAATATCTAGTCTGCTTGTCTTATACAGCTGTAGGTATGTCTCCGGTCTCCGAGCCATCCCAGTGCACATGATGATGTTTAATTATATCGTGTATAGTTGTACACATTGGTGCTCTCGCGGTAGACGATTGAACCAATTACTTCCAACCCTCCGCTTACCCCCCGGCTGAGCGATGTTTATAAGCGCACAACTAACGTTGAGATGTGCCACCATCTACCTTCCTCTAGAAAGAAGGGTTGTGAAAACGAGTACACAAACAGTACAGTGATCATTATTTAATCACAGACGTCACATGCTAATCACGACATCCGAATCGTTTGCTCGTCTCGACTCGCCGACCGATCGACGGTGTGAGGCTGACAGAATTCGTGCAGTCCAGTTCGGGAGCCGCGGCCAGGGGCGGCCAGAACCAGGCGAGAGTGCTGCTCCGACCGCGCGTGAGGTGAGAATCAGGGAGAGAGAGATTGGGAAGTACCTAAGGCGAGCTCGCGAGCAAGTGAGCAAATGAATGCCAAAGGAAGTCCTACTAAATGAACTGAGATCGTCGACAGATTAGCTTGAGAATGTTGATCTCGAGCTGCACCAGATGCCTGCGTTAAATTGTAACGATCATTTTTAATGAAGTAGTTGCAGAGTGGAACATATTTCTATTGCAGATAATTTGGACTAGACGGACTGATTGTTTGGCTGGCCGCATTTATGCCGTTTATAATGAATCAAGCTTTGAGTTTCATGTTTGCAGACATTTTGAATTTGAATTCCTGATTCTTCTTCTTTGGCTTTATTACGCCCCCACTGGGATTATACGCTGGCCTTCAAAACACAACAGTTGTTAAACCAGTAAAATTTTTGCATTAGTATTATTGTGTGGCAAGTACAATTATACTTTATTGTCCAGGGAACTCGAGAAATAGTTTAAACCAAAAAAAATCCTAGTCCGGAACGGGAATCAAACTCAGCCGCCTCCAGCATGGTCTTGCTTTAAGGTGACACCTTTATCGTCTGAGTTAAGGCAGGTCCCAATTACTGATGATAACTTCAAATTGTATGATCGTGAAATTTGATGAATTTCAACATAAATGCAAGTAAAGAAATAAGTAGCAGGTTTCTCCTATAACTGTTGCATTAGGAAACATTTACACAGTGTTTCCAGACCAAAAATAACCTCAATGTACTGGGAAGGTTAATTGAAATATTTAGTCAATCATTAAAATTATGCGGTGGATACACTTGTGCAAAAATCCAGGAAAGATCTAACCTTCCTAGTATATTAGGGTCTATATAACCCAAGCGGCACATACAAATAGCTGTAACTTCGCAACGAAACAAGGAACAGAGTTGAAATTTTGTGATTTTTCCTAACTTTCTAGAACAAACATTTTGAAACCGGAATGAACCTTCAGCGACCTAAAAAGGCGCTACAAAAAGGGATGTATAGGGGAAATGGATGTAATGTCGACCTAAATGCCCCTTATTTTGGCCCATATATAAATTCAGCAATTAGGGTCCAGGTGTGGGAGCTGCCTCCCTGGCGTCGGTAGCATTGGTGCTCAGCACGGAAAACAAGATCGACGGAAAACAAATCAAGGAAAAAAAAATCAGCAATCGACTAAATTTTTAATAGCTACCAAAAATATTCATTAGTACCGTACCAATGACGCGTTCATCTAGATAAAATTGATAAATAGCGCGAGAGTGAGCGCTCGCAAGTCATAAAATCGCTGATTGCGACTACCTGAAAGCGAATTTGACAGGTTTTATGTGTCAAACACAAAAAATCATTATAATAGGGGAAATGGCCCTATGGATCTAAGATTGGGCCCATCGCTGGGGCATTATCATGCCTGAGGAAATCATTAGAAAAAATGATCCTATCAAGACTTGACAATTGGGTTGAATCAAACAACCTGCTTTCAAATACGTAATTTGGTTTCCGAAAGAGTAAAGGAACAAACGATTGTCTAGCGTTGATTTCATCTGATATTCAACTGACCTTCCTAGTACAGTCTGCACAGTAGTGGATTACCCTGTATTTTAAATAATTTCTTGTATAATTTGCTGTCAGAAAAACAAATGACCTTCAATCTAGGTCAACTGACAACTTTTAGAATTAGTTGCATGGGCTTACCCCAAAGTTCATGTTAAAGTCCCTTACTTTATAATTTCTATGTCAAAGATATTGATAACTGCTTAGATAATCGATGCACGCTTGGACCAATGACATTTATATAAGGTCTGGGCCAACAGGCGGCTTGCTGGTGTTAGAAGCAAAAATGTTATAAACATTGCTGAACATCTGCGAACAGATAGAAATACGTCACTACCAACATACTGAGAACAGATAGAAATAGTCACTGCCAACAGCTGTTTCGTGTAAAAAGATAAACATTGCAATAAAATACGAACACCACTAACATTTGCACATTTCACTAACACCAATAAGCCCTTTGGCCCAGACCTTATATAAACGTCATTGCGCTTAGACAGCTTGCAGATGATGCCGTGGTTTCCCTGAGAGGTCCACGTGCGGAAATCTTGCAAAGACCATTGTAAAATTTCCTAGATAATCTTTTCTTCTGAGCCAGAAATTTGGGGATCGAGGGGTTCACCGCAAAAAACTGAATTGGTAGTGTTTACAAGGAAGCGGTTTCCAGCCCATTTGCGTCTAAATATTTTGGGCTGAGAATTTACCTTCAAATACGTTGGAGTCTGGTTTGATTCAAAATGCACTTGGGGTATTCACATTACGTATTTGAAACCAAAGTGTCAACAAAGGATCAACTTTCTACGATCAATTTCCGGGACATGGTGGGGTGCTCACCCGGAAGACCTCATTAAACTATATAAACGACTATTCTTTCAGTTCTTGAGTATGGCTCTGTTTGCTTCCTCTCGGCAAGAAACAGCCACCTAATCAAATTGGAACGTATTCAATATCGTTGTTTACGTATTACCCTTTTCTTTATACAGGGGAAATCTGCTCACAGACACCTGAGAAGGAACTCAGGGTGTGGGGATGGGAGAATTTCACTCCCGACCCACTAAACCTTACCCTGTGCGCTTGGCCCTTGACCTCCCCGGAACCGCCCGAAGGCATTACTTCGTGGGAGGGGCCGCTGTAGCGCTATGACGCTTCTCTAGCAATACTCTATCGATCTAGCCGGGCAGTAGGCAACTGCTGTTCGGCACGCCACTGTCGTTGTAATTCCGAAACTAAAGGGTGATACGGTCAAAATTTGGTCAAGGGAAAACGCGTGTAAATCGGTGAAACCGTTTATTTAAAAAATCAAATTAAATTTCTTTTTCAAGTTCAATTAGTATAAAATTCAGGAAAAATATTCAGTTAGGCTTCCGCTTTTCCAAATCCGAATTGCCGGGCCTTGCGCTTGACCCCTGCCATCAGATTTTGTACAACCACCTTGTCCACCTTCTTCGCCGCAGAAAGCCAGTTTGCCTTGAACTGCTGCTCGCCCTTAGCAGTTTTTTTTGGTCTTCTTTAGGTTCCGCTTGACAATAGCCCAGTATTTCTCAATTGGGCGGAGCTCTGGCGTGTTGGGAGGGTTCTTGTCCTTGGGAACCACCTGCACGTTGTTGGCGGCGTACCACTCCATGGCCTTTTTACCGTAATGGCAAGATGCCAAATCCGGCCAAAACAGTACGGAACAACCGTGTTTCTTCAGGAAAGGCAGCAGACGTTTATTCAAACACTCTTTCACGTAAATTTCTTGGTTGACAGTCCCGAAAGCTATGAAAATGCTGCTTTTCAAGCCACAGGTACAGATGGCTTGCCAAACCAGATATTTCATTGCGAACTTTGACAGTTTCATGTGCTTGAAAACATCTGCTACCTTTCCCCTTCCTTTTGCCGTATAAAACTCCTGTCCCGGAAGCTGCTTGTAGTCGGCTTTGACGTAGGTTTCGTCGTCCATTACCACGCAGTCAAACTTCGTCAGCATCGTCGTGTACAGCCTCCGGGATCGCGCTTTGGCCGTCGTATTTTGTTTATCATCGCGATTTGGAGTCACTACCTTCTTGTAAGTCGATAGTCCGGCTCGTTTTTTGGCTCGATGCACGGTTGTAGACGATACACCCAGCTTATTTGCGGCATCTCGGAGAGAGAGGTTAGGGGTTCGCTTGAAACTACCGGCAACTCTCTTTGTCGTCTCAGCGGCTTCCGGTTTTCGATTTCCCCCCGATCCAGACTTCCTGGCTGTCGACAAACGTTCCCCAAACACTTTAATTACATTTGTAACGGTTGATTTGGCAACTTTTAGCGATTTTGCCAACTTTGCGTGCGAGTAGCTCGGATTTTCGCGATGCGCGAGCAAAATTTTGATACGCTGCTCTTCTTGCTTGGACGGCATTTTGACAACTGAAGAGTGAATTCCAAAATCAAAATAGGAGCAACATTCTACACACACACACCTTCAAAATGAGGGGTGTTCAGGTTTTTTAAATGCAAAATTGAAAGAAATACGTCAAGTTGATATTGACCAAATTTTGACCGTATCACCCTTTATGTGGGTGACCGCAGTCACCACCGCGTACCACACGTCCTAGGAACGATGTTATCCGGACTGGTATCCGCTCCGCATATCGCTAGCATAGCGCTCGATACTGGCTCGAAGCGTGGACAGGCGAACATAACGTGTTCGGCGGTCTCCT